TAACAATGTCATTTTTAATAAGATTTTGGTCATTGATGTAATAAGCAGAAAACAAATGATTTATTTTGCGAGTAAAAGTCACAAAACAGCACTTAATAATGTTCAAAAGAATTTTATTTTCTACAGACCATCTGTAAATCATGTCTAGGTTGTCCTGAAGAAGCTTCATGTCATTAAGATTATCAATGGAAGAATAAATTTTTAAATCATCAGCAAATCCAAGTCTAGGACATGTAAGTGCCCTCAATAAGTCATCAATAAATAATATAAAAAGAAGAGGTCCCAGGTTGGAACCTTGAGGTACACCTGACGTTGACACATACTCATGTGATAAGTAACCATTATAAAAGACATAGTTAATTCGTGCAACCAAGTAGGATTCAATAAGTTTGATAAATGATGGAGACATGCCAAAAAAACTGAGCTTATTCAGCAGCAAGTTGTGATCAACACGGTCAAACGCACTAGAAAAGTCCGTGTAGTGTAGTGTAATTAAGTAACTGGATGCAAATACACAAGTTATTACTGGCTGATTTTTAAAGTTACGGCAGTTAACAGGAGCACAACAAAAGTACCCCTTGGGTGTTGTAGCATAAGTGGAGTTTGGGGCTACCGGTCTGGAGCTGTTCTCTCCCCACGACGGTGATTCTATCTATCACAAAGCCTACCCACACACATATCTCCATTACGAATGTGTCCTGCGGAAGTAGGCCATTACGGTCGCCAGACCCGCAAGAAGATCTAGGCTAGCACGAAGCCAAACCTGTAGACTTGTACAGGTGACACGCTAAATCTTCGCCAACTCGACTAGGAACCGAAGTTCGCTTCTGGCACGTTTTCTGTGTTATTTAACCTCAATTCCATTTTTAAATATTCAATCTCTTACAACTTTGATATTAACAACAACTGAACAAGTGTTAAAGTTTCAACGAGCAATAAACAACATTTAACTTCGCCATACAATCTTGTGAAATCTTGAACAACAAATAATTCTTATGTGAGATTAAAGATGGGACATCAAATAATTTATATGATAGGAACATTCATCAACAAAGTATTTACAAAACAAAATTTAGCAAGGATTTATGAAACAAAAGATCTGGTGTGAAATAAACTTGTGTGAAGAATTTAGAAGTGTTATAATATAACACTTACGTATATGCATCCAGAAACCTATTCGTAATTAAACAAGGTGTTTTTCCTGACTAAGTGAATTTCATGAAATCTTCTAGCAAGTGGTTTATTTAAATAATCCTGATTGTTAAAATGTGTTTGCACTAGCTGACTATTAAGAAAAACTAACTTGATTGGTGAATTTACAAAGAATGAAACAAATTTACAGCACGTGTTTCGCGTTGACCGGAAGTACGCATTTCTCCGATTAAAAGGCCGCAAGAATTAACCGCGCGGGTTGGGGACGACTGTGTCATTATGAAAGTTACGATTGATTGTCGTTAAACAAAGGCTTCCTCCCATTTTATTAACTACCAAACCAACTAATTTAAATCTAGCGCTTACCACGTGTTTACACTCACACAAGCACATTCATAATGACGCTACGCCATGCAGCTTCTCTACCAACCCTCTAACCCTGTAACTAAAAACTCCCAAACGATACCAAGCCGTCATCTAACTCAATCATCATGCAAAACTACCCCTAAGAGCCACGTGCATATTTGGTTGCCTATGTTTAACGATTTCCTTTTTGTGATTGAATTTTTTTTCTCTCAAGTTCAAATTATTCAAGCGTGATTTCGCGCCGCTGTTAATTAATTTCAGCGCGAAAACTTTGATTTAAATTCGGTCACCACAATATCCACATTTACAAATTGTTCTGTGTACTCCCAAAATTTTGCTCAGAAACAACGACGTATTAAAACCTACATTTTTTTCTAAAACAGACTTAAATTTCTGAAAAACTTTTTCACCTATTTTACCTTGAACATTGGATAGTTTTTGAAAACAATTTGTTACTAGCTGAATATAATCTACCAGTGCTAAATTGTTACATTCAAGTTTTAAAATTGTATCAGTAACTATGGAAAAATTAGCTAATTTATTTTAAATTCTTTAATAGAAGCAGCAGCATCTGACAGATTATTAACAAAATTAATCATTTTCCCCACCTAGTTACAGCAGGTTGTGGAAGTAATGGAAAAATGAACAACGCATTTCGATAAAATTGTACTCTGAAAGATCACCTAAAAAAAATTTTTAACATTATTGACTAAATCATTTACTATTGGAAATAAATTTCTAATTTGCTCAGGCTCTCTATTTATACTATGAACTAAGCATGTAATGTGGATTAAGCGAGGAAAAATATTTTTAGATTTGATGAAGCTTTGCACATGTACGTAGCATCTGATGATGTTAATATGAGTTTTTCAACTGGAACTGGTTCCGGAAGAAAAAACTTCGTTAAACCTTCATAAATAAACCTTGTAATGGTATTATTATTTGTCTTATCCAAAACTTTCGTACTAATCAAATATGAAGTGCCACATTTTTCACCGGTCAAAGTTCCAATCAACAAATTTGCGACATAACGTCCACATGAATCGGTTGTTTCATCGACATGAAAATAAATTAGATTATCGCCTATAGTTTGACGAACATCCTGCTTTATTTTTTGAAAACACTTTGTCCGCGTAGTTTTTTCTTAAAGTACTCTCATCGGGAACTGACTTCGTACACTTTTTAAGAAATGATGATCGTCGGAATGCTTCACACAATTCAAAACAATATTCTCGTTGATCTGTCATCTTCTGGGTGTTAGAGAAAGATTCTGCTAGCAGACTTTGTAACCTCACATTAGACGAATTCTTCAGCTTATTTTTGTGAAGGCTTGTCCCAATATGCCGAGTTATCAAAAAATTATTTTCACAGGCAACCTGAACAATAAAACTAATTCATATTGTGCATGCCTTACTTCTCGCGTTTAATTGAAAGCAATAAGATATCAATAAATCAAAGCAGTTGTTTCAAATTGGAACTAATAAAAATAAATGTAACAAATTCAAAAATATAGCAATGATAAAAATTTGTATACCGTACTTACCTTTTTAGAGCACACTCTGCAAAAAACATATTAAGAATTTTCATCTAACACTAGTTCGGGATCCTTTTTTATCCAGTCGTGGACACTTGCAGAAACTTTTGGCATTTTGGATTCGAAGTTCATTTGTCAGTGCTAAAATAAGGACTGACAAAATTAAGAATGAAACTGGTAAATAACAAAGTGAATAATTGCTAGAAAGAAGGATGCTTTCTGAAGAGTTAAATAAGGGAGAATCAAGATAATTTTAAGGCCTATGCGGCCTATTCAATATACCAATAGACGGAATGTCTCCTAATAATATAATATTAAAATATGGATGTAAGAGGGAAATACTTGTAAACTTAATTAAAGATATATAATTATATTTGTTGCATTATTAGATATATTCATTCCCATTACAGCTTAAGTAGATTTTATAATTCATTTGTTGTTCAATCAATGACAACGCCGATTTTTTTTGGATTAAAATGATAAACATCTCATAACTAAACGTTTTGTACCTAAAACTCAAATTGTTCTGAATAGACCCCCATGATTTTGTTCTGTAAATTTTTATCAATTCTAATAACTGACATTTTTTTTTGTCTAGAATTCGTTTAATTAGGTGTGACTGACTTTAATAATTATAGACAAACTTTAAATAAATAAAGTCAAGCCTTAATAAAGGACGCAAGAATCTTAAAGGGGGAGGTATTACGTACTAACCGCCGCTCGCTATCCTTTTGTAGCAGACCTTTGACATCGTCTGTAGTTCAAACCTTAGCACGTCAAATATCGCAAATGCAAACATAGATTCGTAACCCTGAAAAACATTTGTTTTGGGACTTTATCAAACGCCTTATAAAAAAAACAGGTAGGAATACCTATTATATCTAACGTTGGCTCAGAATCAAAGTTTTCTGTTCACTCCGACAAACAGCAGAGGAGGTTTGTTTGAGCCGACCTCCTTGGCAGAAAGCCGTGCTGTTCATCTGGGACGAGATGGTGATCCAGTCGAAATTTCATTACCTGATCAAAAATAACTGATTCCATAACTTTCATCATAAGTAAAGTTAAACCTCGAATTTGTCTCCTATTTGTATCATCGTTAAAATGTGTTGAACATGGTCTCTAAGTACACCCAAGAATAAAAGTAGTGTAACTATTTGACACCTTATTCAAATACAGGGAGTCTATACCACCTGGCTCACAGTAGTCTTTCTAAGTGAAACCAGAGAGTCCGCTACTGAAGAGGTCAACAAAATTATGGACGGTCCATTGTTATTTGTCGAGTTGAAAGCTAACATTTGAAATAAATTTGAGGTAGGAGTATCATTTAAATTTTACTTGATGCAGGTTCATTGTGTAGTAAACTGAGGTCAATAGTTATTTCATAGTTGTTATCACTCCTTTTTCTATCGATTATACCGTTTTCGCTTAAATTTTTGCTACTCTCGCAGGCTTTTTTTAATTTTCTTTTGAACTTTACGAAACCTATTTTCATTTATAATCATACATACCTAAGAACTAAGACACCTTCAATATCGTCAGTGTATTAACTCTAAAATGTCTTTTTCGCCAGAGGCTTTATCCATTAATTCTAAAAACTAAGATAATTTTAAGCCGGATGCGACCTATTCGATATACCAGTAGACGGAATGTCTTCAGTTCGGACTAGGAGGTCTTAATTGCTGGTTTTTGCAGGTAAAGATTCTACCCAAATGCAAAATTACAAAAATATGCATAAATCTGTACATATGCAACAAAATTGAAAAGTATACAAAATATGCATATTGTTTAAAAAAAGAAGTTATACGGCCAGAAAACATCTTTTTTTGCTGAATATCCCACATTTTAAGGAAGCGGCTGGGAACAACACTGCGCGGTTGCGCTGTGCATGCCTTTGGAATGTGGTGCATGCTCTACAGCTGTCCCTACACTACACCCCACTACACCGCTATAGATCTGCGACATAGTGAACAGCTGTAGAGAGTTTGTGTTCTTCCTATAAACTCAGTGCTCAAAATTTTCAGCTTTGAAAAATGGCAAATCGTAAGAGCATATAAACCAGCACAACTAAATTTTAACTAAATTGTTCTAGAAATCATAGGTCACGTTAATTGTCCCATCGATAATGGTAATGTTCACGACATGGCGGCAAACCACGAGGCCGCCTTAAATTTATTCACCAATCAGTGCCCCGTCGGAGCACGTGTGGCGGAAGTGACTGGTATAAGAGGAAAACCAAAAAATAAATGTACCTGGCGAGTTCTCTATATACTATATGACTTTGATCCTCAATTTGGAAACATCGACCACACACAAAGATCTCGTGATTTTTATAGTAGGAAGCCTAATAATACGAGAATTCTAATGCAAGCTTGGGAACCTTTTCCCCCCACTGTAGAAATTGTATATTTGATTCTTCAATGCATGTGTGACGTACCGCCAAGTGTTGAAACAATTAACACAGATTTCCTTAATTTAAAGGTGGAGTAGAATATCCAAGAATTATTGTTATTTTTTTATTCCACCTTTAGTGTGAGGGTCAATCTAGATACAATTAGTGTTGAAAAATAATAATAATAATAATAGGTAAATTATGGATATAAGAAGGAACTACTTATATTAGTTAAAGATATATAATTACATTTGTCGCATTATTAGATATACCTACATCTGGTCATCATGCATCATCAAACTGCATATAGGTAGATAGGATCGAATCTGTCCAGAATATCAAATTCATAATGCGCTTGCTTCCTTTGCGTGTTAGAAATTCTCCGGAACTGTACAAAAGTTAGGATTAAATAATTTATGTGATCGTAGAATTTTTTTTTAAATTTGTTTCATACTGTCAGCGTGCAATCTAGTCTCAGATAAGGTAAATTTTTTTAATGACAATTATGGTAATCTTAAGGCTACTCTTCGTTGCATTTTGTACCTACAATTAATTTTATGCGTCTGTATGTAAAGGCTACTTTTTTGCCGTAAATAAATTAATTATTTTTAAGATACCTATTCATACCTACCCATTACAGCAGTAGATTTTGTAACCCATTTGTTGTTCGATCAATGACAATTTTTTGGATTAAAATCATAATTCGATAGGTTTTCAAGTTGGTTAGTAAAATGTTTTTTATCCTATATTGTCTATCGCTGTAAATTTTTTTCAATTTCTGAGAATTGATAGTGTTTTCAAATTGATATTGCACTTAAAGAAAACGTACCAGCTAGCACATTGAGATGTTTAGACCAAAGCCTCAACCTTAAATAATAAAGTCAAACCTTAACAAAGGACTCAAGAATTTTAAAGCAGGGGGCTGTTACGAACCAACATGACCTTTAACATCGCCGGCAATTCAAACCTTAGCACGTCAAACCTTAGTAAAGATGATTATGGACTTAAAAATAATTTTAATATTTTGCCAAACATGGATTCGCAATCCAGAAAAAAATTTGTACAAATCAAATCAAAGAATCAAAGTTTTTTGTCCACTCCGATAAACAGCAGAGGAGGTTTGTTTGAATCGACCTCCTTGACAGAAAGCCGGCTGTTCATCTGGGACGAGATGGGGTGCTCCAGTAAAAATTTCATTACTTGATCATAGATAACTATTCCATAACTTTCACCACACATAAAGTTAAAACTCGAATTTGTTTCCTTTTTTTAAAGATCAACCGTACAATTGCCGTCTTCCATTCGGAGGGAAGAAAACCTGACTTCAACGACTGCTATTTTTCTATTCTTTAAGACATTGGTCGTTCGTAACGCCAATTTTATTCAATATCAGGTCTCTAGAAAATTCTACTTGGGAAATGTAGTTCGGGTTAAAAGTGCCCAACAGACTGGAACGTCCAAGAGGAGGTTCTTTCGTAAAAAATTCTGAGAATGTCTGCACGAATACTTCTGTCACATCTTCGTAATTATTGACTACTGTACCTGAGGCATCCCTAACGTGAACGTTCCTCACTGGACCCGAGACCTTCGTTCGGTGTTCTTGTGCAGGCGTTTAGGATCTTTATCTGCAACAATGGAGTATTCGTATTTGAGCCTCTCTAATGCCAGACAAAAGATGGTTCGAAAAGTCTGTGTGTTTTATAGTCGGATTTAGACTTCGTTCTTTTAAATTTACAATCCGTTTAACTGTAGGGATTTCAGACGCATCAGTTGTGGATGTGCTAGGACAATCATTGGCAAAATGTCCAGTCATTTTGCATTTAAAGCAAATATCGTCGAAGGTGAAAAAGACGCGATAATTTCATACTTTAATACCAAAGAATCTGGAAAGTTTAATTTAGCTCACTGCACAGTAATCAAATGACCTTATCACCAATGGTCAAAAACAAGCCGATAAAGAACGTTGTCGCGAGACCAATAAATTAAACATTATTGCTACTTTTGAGAATTATTCCCGGGAAGAAAACGTGGAATATTGCTTATGCAGGCTTCAACAACAATTCCAGGGTAGTTCAATAATAAAATATTGGAATAATCTTACCAAAATCGAAATAAAACCAGAGCAGAAAACACACTGTTCGCGCCTAAATTCCCACCACTCAACTTTTGGATATATTGGAAATTCTTTTATATATATAAAAAATTATCTTACGGTTGTTTTTAAATGTTTAATATGATTAGTTGTTGCACCAAATTGCTAAGTTTTCATGCCTGTAATTTTTTTACTAGATTATAGAGAAGAAAGTTACTTTTTTATGTCAACTTAAGTTAAAGCTGGTAAGTAGTATGTACCACCCAAAGCTTGGTCAGCAACTCTACTTTGTTTTATTTTCGATGGCACAGTATTTTAATTATTCTTTAACTTAATCACTTTCTAGGACTGATTAATTAATGACGCAGCAAAATATGTACCTATATAAGTAACACAAGTTCTTAAAAATGCAAATTTTTGTATAGGTAATCCTAGTACATAATTCTAATGTGAGGTCATAAAGTCTGCTAGCAGAATCTTTCTCCAACAACCAGAAAATGACAGATCAACAAGAATATTGCTTCGAATTGTGTGAAGCATTCCTACGATCATCATTTCTTAAAAAGTGTATAAAGTCAGTTCTCGATGAGAGTACTTTAAGAAAAAACTACGTGGACAAAGTGTTTCAAAAAACAAAACAGGCTATTCGTCAAATTATAGGCGGTAATCTAATTTATTTTCATGTCGATGAAAGAACCGATTCATGTGGACGTTATGTCGCAAATTTGTTGATTGGAACTTTGACCAGTGAAAAATGTGGCACTTCATATTTGATTAGCACGAAAGTTTTGGAAAAAACAAATAATAATACCATTAAAAGCTATAGTTAGATTATGTACTTTTAACTAGGAACCAAAATATCACATATATTAAAACCTGCAACAACGTAATGTAGCTAATAAATTGGCCATTATAGGATCAGTTGTTGTTCAGTGTTATATCTAAAGCGATGGGTTTTAAAAAAATAGTGAAACACAATATAAACAGTTTAATCTTATAATTTAATACTGAATGATTTTTTAAATTTCTGCCCTAGTTAGACATGCCGCTAACGTCAGCCGTTTTAATTTCACTGCTGATGTAAGCGTTATAGCTTACTAGACCAGAAATTTAAAAAATCACCCAACGTAATACTAACAACTATTCCTACATAGGACAAAATTATTTTTAGACGTATAGACTTTATGATTATTAAAATTAGTCATAATTAAACGAAAGAATTTTATCAAAAAATACCCGTCATAATATAGATTTACAGTTGTTTTACTACATAAAAATAAAAAAGAAAGGAATAAGGATACTAAATCTAAATCAAAGACTATGTAAATGTATTGTTGGTTGCGTTACGATTTTTTTTTTTTTTAGGTAAAACCACAGTATAGAGATCAATGATATCCATACTGTGGTAAAGCCTCTCGTGAATAATGCTATAAAATAACGGGTAATTTTTTAATAAAATTCGTTTAATTATGACTAATCTTAATAACAATAAAAAATTCAAATAAAAATCATTTTCTCCTATATAAGAATATTTAAGTTACTAATCTTCTACATTTCGAGCACTTTTAATCACATGCCTAACAAGACACTTCTTTACCAAAACAACAATATCCTTAGCAGCATTTGTGAGAGTTTCAATTGCAGAAGTTAAATTATCCATGGCCAAATTTCCAGTCTGATAAAACTGTGAAACTTGTTCATGTGTAGCCAGCATTGATAAAACAACAATTCCATGATTAGTGTTCTGTTCATCTTTAAACAACGGCACTTGGCACAAACGTTCCTCTTCTAAATTCGGATCAACTAATACAAATTCCCCTTGTACTGCCAAAGTAACAGATGTAATTAAATCATACATAGGTATCCCAGCATGTGCTAAAGCAACTCCAGCTACAGTTATTGCTGCACTTAATGCAGCTCCATCATTGTGTAAAACCAACGCATAAATGTCAACTTGAAAATTGGGAAACTCATGTCGGGATACAGCAGACTCCAGTGCTTGTTTCATGATAGCGCTGTACTGCAGCTCCTCTGGATCTTGTTGGTGCAGTCTTCGCTTGTGGCAACTAAACGGCGCATATTTGAACTCGCAGTATATTTCACCCTTAGAACTGTACTCAGATTTGTTGGGTATTTCACGGGGATTGAATACTGATACTATAACTTTTGTTTTGTCTAGTTCGATGTATGCAGAACCTTTGGCTTGACTGACAACACCTGTTTTTAAAACTAAAATCATCACGTGAAAGTATAACTTTAATGTAAAGTGCTAACTTACAAATTTTTCTGTGGTCGTTCGCTGATCTCCCATCGATGCGGACTCCGTTGGATTTTACGAAATCCTTAAATTGAGACTTTCCAGACTTGGTATTTAATTTGTCAAATAACTGGTATGGAATTGTAATTTCCGGTCCGTTGATTCTCTTGTGATCTATTGGCATGGTGGCATGTGCGTTTTTCCGTAAAACGTAACACCTTTTTTTTCTAGAGGTTAAATTATATTAGGTTATGTTTTGTATTGTGATGTGTTACGTCAATTATGGTAAGGACATTTTATTACTATAAATTGGCGAACCTGATATATTGTTATCTAAACAAAAAAAAATGTAAGTTTATAATATTGATTCAAATATATATGAAAATTTACAGTTTTATTATTTATTGTCTGTCTGTCCTTTCAGAAAGTTAAAATTCTATTAATTTTTTAGTCAATCCAAGGGATCAAGAGCTATTCCCACTAGGGGATTTTTCGAACCAAATCAAAAATAGTGGTAATTGTCAAAATCTTGACGTTTGTTTCAGTCAGTCCTGCTGTCAATTATTAAAAACTTGTCGGTACATGTTTTGGCGCAATTTTTCTGTTAATTGTGGAAGATTCTATTTTTCATTGTAAATACCCTAACCAGAAACAGTAAGATATCAGAACAGAGAAATACTAATTATTACATACTGTTTTTGCAGATGTCAGACAGTGAAGATGATTTTGATTCTACCGGCACCAATGCCTTTTTTAAACCGTCTTTTGTACTAATTGCAATTGACACTGATCCAGCAATGTTCATCAAAGGAGAAAATGATAACACACCTTTTAGAAATTGCGTAAATGCTTCCTATGAACTTGCAAATTCATTAATGTTTACCCAAAGCAAACGAAGTTGGAGTCCTTTTGGAGTGGTGCTAGCCCGTGATGACGTTTCAGCGTCATTTGTTAATTTTGATGATAATGTTCTGAACTCCATCAAGTTTCTGAAAGAAAAAAAGGGTACATCCGATGATGATTTGAGGGACTTGTATCAGAGAAAAGGTAGCGTTGATTTGAGCGCGTTTTTTTTGTTTTGTAAAAAGAAATTTAAAGAAGTGAATGCCGTATTTTATAAAAGAATAATCATTTATGTTACTAATGATGATAATCCTACAAGAGGTGACAAAAATCAAAGGTTTGCAGCCATTAATGAAGCTAAGAATTTTGAAGCCAATGGTATTAGTTTTGAAATGGTCACAATGAACCCAAATTTTGATTATAAACACTTTTATAATGAGTTGTTTTCTGTTATGAAAGTTCCTTTGGTTGAAACCATAGTGGAGGATGAGGATGGTCTGATTGAGAAGTTGTCCTCCTCAATTTTGACAAGATTTTATCAAAGAAAACTACATTTTTTCCCGTTTCTTGGTGACAATTCTAGATTTCTCAAAGTTAAACAGAAAGTGTTCATCAGAGAAGAAAAACTGTACAACAACGCCTATGTTTCTACAGATGGAAAAACTTTGAAGAAAATTTCAAAGAACGTCGCAGATGTAGTAAAGACATATCGTCTAAAAAATGCTCCTGTCAATCTTGAATTTGATATGGAAGAGCAAATGGAACTATTGAATAATAATTTGCCTGTTGGATATACTTTACTTTTTGTCTCAGATCGAGTTACAGAAGTTGGTTCAATTTTAATAGACAATGTGCTTCTTGAGGTTGATCCTAAAGAAGATTTGCCATTTTTCAACAGTTTCTGGCAATACTGTGCCGATAAGAATAAAGTTTTAATCTGCGCAAGAAAATTAAGGCAACTTGATAAGACACGTTTTGTTGAGTTTATTCCAAAGTTTGCTAATAACGCTAGAATATTTTTAATCAAAGCTATACCATTTAATGATGAGAATAAACTCCCATCGAGTAAGCTTGAGGCAGCTGATGACACTACACAGTATTCTCAAGAAAAAATTAAAGTTACAGATGAATTAATCAAAAAGCTGACATTTGATTATGATCCTAAGATGTTCACGAATCCTTGCAATGCAAAAAAGAAAGCATTCTTGAGGTCAAAGTTCCTTGATGAACCTAAAGAAGACATTGAGGATGTCACTTTGGATACTGAGGGTTTGGATAAAACTCTAGGGCAAGTTGGAGAAGATTTTAAAAAGCTGTTTCATTTAGAAGAAGAGGAAAAGGGGAAGAAAAGAAAAACTGCTTCTGCTTCAGCAAGCTCTAAGAGGAAGAAGTAAAACAATAGATGTAAGGAGAAAAGTATTTTCAAATAATTTGTTTTTTTTTTACCTATTTTGAAATAAAGTAGTATGCATTCATATTTTGAAAAATATGGTAGGTAATTTTAATCTATTGTGACTGACAGAACAATTAATTTTCTATTTTACGTTTTTATTATTCAAATGTTTCATAAATATTTATTAATTACAAAAATACAAAATTTACATAATAACGCAAAAAATACCTGAATCACCAGCTCCAATTTTTCAGACGCGATTTTCGTAACGCTTCTAATGCCTTATCAGCTTTCAATTGAGCCTCTGTTTGTACTTTTAAACCATGTTTCTTAACACCACTATTTACAACAGAATCATGTTGCAACGCTCCTGAGACTCCTTTTCTCGCAAATAATTTATGCAAGATGTATTGATCCTGGTCATCACTTTTAGTACTATTTTCACTTTTCTGGACTTCCTTAATTTCTGTTTTTACCAAACCATCAACTTTTTCTCCATCAACTGTACCACTTCTATCCACAACGCACTGTTCTTTTTCTTTAGATTTGCTATGCTTCTTCTTGCTCTTCTTTTTGACTTCTACACTTTTTGTTATCCTGTCTCCTTTTAATTCATGATATAACTTGGCATTTGTTTCAGAGTATTCTAAAGCTGTAGCAAAACTCACAGTTGCATTACAATCATCAACTTTATTGACAGGAGATTCTGGTCTTTCTTTATCCTTTTCTCTGTTCAAATTTCTTAATTCCATCACAGTCAACCTTTTTAGCTGTTGTCTTTCTTCTAGTTTCTTCTGTCGTTCTTCTTCTAAATGGAGCTGATATGAAGTTTTCTTTACTTCTTGCTCTGGTGGCTTTGCTATATTTTTTGCTATTTCTTGTGCTAGCTTTTTCATAGCTTGGATTTTGTCTTCTGAAAACTCAACTGAGCTTTTTTTCTTTTTTTCCTGCATTCGCTCTTGCAATTTTACTCTAGATTCACGAAATATGTTAGCTGTTTCTGGACCTGTGGCTGCATTATCCGCGGGAAGAGAAAATAAATCATGCAGACTAGAGGATTTAAAGAACTTGTGAGTTTTGGGATCTAGTAATATTTTGTTACTTAGTAGTTGTTTCCAAACTTGTCTTTGATACATCTGCAAAAATAATTCTTAGTCTGTAATAGGGTAAAATGCGTTTTCTGTTTTACCTTTTCTTCTATGGTTCCTGCTGATAGCAATCTGTAAATAGTAACCTCTTTATCTTGACCAATCCGCCATGCACGTTCTCTGGCTTGAGTGTCTGTGGCAGGATTCCAATCAGGATCATAAATGATAACCCTGTCAGCGCCAGTTAAATTAACTCCTAATCCTCCAACTCTAGTAGTTAATAAAAATACATCATAACTAGAGTCCTAAATGAAACAATGAATAACGTAATATGTTAAAAATGAAATCATTTTATACTAACTTCATTAAATTTATTTATAAGTGTTTGCCTAGAGCGCACTGCTGTACTTCCATCCATTTTTAAATACTTATATTCTTGCTGCTTCAAAAATTCTTCAAAAACTGTAATCATTGCTCTACTTTGTGTAAATAACAAAACTCTGTGCTTCTGTTTTTTCCAAATTTTTAATAATGCAGAAACTACAATCATTTTCCCTGATTTTTTATAATAACCAAATTGATGTTCTACAGGCTGTTCCTCAATGTTCTTCTCTGCTTCATCAGCTTCATGTAAATAGATATCAGGATGATTACAAATTTTTCTCAATGCTGTTATAGCTATAAGAACATTAGCTCTTGTTTGATTTTCAGAAAACCAATTTTTCATATTCTTCCCTAATATTGAACCAATGTGGTCACTCTAACAACAATATATTAAACACAAATGTGCAACATTGAAATAAACCTACCATTAAGTACCCTTTATATAAATCTACTTGTTCTTCTGTTAAAGAACAGAACAAAACCTGCTCAGTTTTATTTGGTAGACTGATATGACTTTGAACCTCATCTTTTGATCTTCTCAGTAAGTAAGGAGTAATCACGTTTTTGAGTGTTGTGGCCACTGACAACGCAGTTGCTTCCTTAAATAAAGTGTGAACATATGCAAACTTACATTTAGTAAAAATCATACTTGCATTGGGGTTGAGTTCACAAATCCGCCTTGTACAATTGGGTTATTGAAGTGTTCCATAAAAGTGTTTAAATTTCCCAGCATGCCTGGGTTAGTAAAATCAAACAAACTCCACAACTCTTGCAAATTGTTCTGCATTGGGCTCCCACTCAACATCAACCTGTGAGGAGTTCTAATTTGCTTCACAGCAATGCTTATTTTTGCATTGGGGTTTCTAATTTTATGACCTTCATCCAGAATCAAGTAATGCCAGTCATACTGAGTGAGATAATCAATATATTTCAAAATTCCACCATAGCTTGTTATCACAACGCCTTTACTTTTGGTCATTTCTTTAATAAGATTGGGTGTTTTACCCTGATAGCTACCAGTTTGATGAAGAACTGCCACTCTGAATTCAGGGGCCCAGTCATGAAAGTGTTGGACCCACTGATGTATTACAGTGACGGGGCATACTATTAAAGTAGGTCCTAATCCTTTAAACCTATTAATCTAGTATAACTAATATGTTTTTATTGTATTAAAACAGATTACCGGTCATGAGAGATTACTTGACTGTATTCTAGACCTGCCAGAAATCCTATCACTTGAACTGTCTTCCCTAAACCCATTTCATCACCTAAAATGCCCCCACTGGACTGCCTGTGTATATTCCATAACCACCTTATACCTTCCTGTTGGTAAGTGTAAAGATTACACCAAATTCTTATGGGTATTTTTAATCCACCCTTAATAGTGTAAAAATCTAAGTTATCTGGATCATCTTCAAGAACATTTTCACTTTCTAAATGCTTATAATATTCCTCCAGACGTTTTTTAAAAAAATTCAAGCAACCATCATCTTTAACTTTCACAAATTTTGTAGTGTCTGAGGTGTTTTTCTTTTTTCTGGGTTGGAGACAATTACTTGGTACATATTCAGATTCACTCTCTGATAAATTCATTTAATTAAAAATGATATACAAAGTGTGAAAATACTGTAGTTACCTTCAGATGGTACATATTCACTTCCAGAAGAATGCGCTTTTTCATCGAGTGTTTCATCCAACTTCACTTTTTTTTCTACAACTACTTTTTGGTGATTTTCGTTCTTCCGTTTTTTCTTCTTTTTGTACTTATCTGAGATTTTATCTGCAATAACTTTACTCTTGTTATTATTCACTTGAAGTGTCTTTTTGTACTCTTGGATTTTTCTTAGCTCTTCCTGTCTTTGGATGTATGAGTTAATATCTAGGGAAGAAAAGGTAGCTTCTTTTTTGTTTTCGATTACTTCTCCATCTTCAGTGTCTTCTGTTGTGTTTTGTTTTGTTAAAATGTTAAGTTCTTGGAGTGCTTGTTCTTCCAAAGTTTGTTGGTTTTGACCCCAAACACTAATTCCTTGTTGCAAAGCAAGTTGCGAGAGTTCTTCATCCTTCAAAAATATTTTAAGCTTTTAACAATATTTACACATTCTGGTTACCTGTGCTGTTAAATTATTGTTGGTAAATGAGCACTCTCCACTCTCTGCCATTGTGTTTAATTATAATAATTACAACTCGTACATTTTCGTACTACTCAAAATACAGTAGCAGGTATCTCTTAATTATAATAAATATCTTTACAATGTCTTTACACAAACAGGTTATGACAGGTTGAATCTTGTTAAGTTTCTTGTTTTAATTGATTTGCAATTACATTTGTTTAGTATCCTCTTGTTTTTTTTGCATGTATTTTGTTTGTTCAACTTTATAATGAATTCTACAAAAGCCAAAAATGAACAACTCCACCTAAATCCGGAATCAAGACATTTGGCCTACGCACACCACATATTCACTGCGCATATGGCGCATGTGCAAAATCGACTAGGGACTTTTAGTTTAGAGGTACAAAGAATAAGAAGAAGCTCATTTTGAATCCTTCAAGCAATTCTGATTTTTTTTTATTACCAGTGCTTGTAATTAACGAATGGTTGGAGTAAGTAGGTATACAATATTGTCTTAATATTTGCACATACAGTATTATTCTTTTCACAGTTGGTAACTCTTATTGATTTCAAGGTTATTGCCTAAATTTCAAAACTTTTAACAAATATGTCTAATTTTTTTTACAATGCGGCCTAGTACGTAGCTTAAAACTTAAAATTTGTATTGACTATAGAAATTGACGTAGGTATATCAATGGAACTAAAAACTATACAATATAACCTCTATAATCAGCACAACATGCACCGACATGCAAAAATGAATTTCTTCTGGAAAATTTCATTTTTGAAAAAGTCGTTCAAAAATTGTCAAAAAAATCAGGGTTATTAAGCTTGACGTGCTGATTCCAAAAGCATACCGTGTTTAGGGTCACGGAGCAACATTTTCGACATATTCGGAGTGAAATTCGAATATTTTGAAATTTTTAAAAATTGTGATATTTCATTGGGCGATTCTGGAAAAACGGCTGGAGTTATCGAAGAAATGAGGCCGGAAGTGACTTTTGCCGCCCGAAATCAAGAAAATGTATTAAGTTAAGTTTCGAAAATCGTCGAAAATGGGTCGAAATTTACATCACGGGAAAAGTCGTCTGAAAATTCTCAAAAAATTCAGGGTTATAGATCTTAACGTGCCGATTCCAAAAATATAGGGCGTTTATTTGATGTGGAATTTGAATTTTTTAAAATTTTTAAAAATTGCGATGTTTCAATGGGCAATTGTGGAAAAACGGTTAGAGTTATAGAAGAAATGGGGCCGGAAGTAAGTTCTGCGGCCCAAAATCTGCAAGAAAATGTATTTTGTTAAATTTCAAAAATCGTCGACAATTGGTCAAAATTTGCATGGGGAGGGGGGGGATATACATAATGAGAAATTTCACTTGTGAAAAAGTTGTCTAAACATTCTCAAAAATTTAAGGGCCATAGATTCCGACGTGCTGATTCCAAAAATATAGAGTGTTTATGAATATGGAGTAATATACAGGGTGTTTTTGAAATACACTACCAAAAAAGAGCAGGTAATTAGTGATGATAAATAGAACCAATTGACAAAAAATACTTTAGAAAATAAATCGAATTTTCGGTCAAAATTTCCAGTACGCCACTGTATTAAAGGTAATTCAAAATGCAATCTTGTTCGCTTAGCAACAATAAAAATTTAGGGTACTGTTGTCAATTTTGTGTCAGTTGTATTACAATGGTTTACACAAATGCTGAATTAACTGATAATTATTTTGTCCTACTGTATGAAAGAATTGACAAATAGGATTCATGATGTTGCGGCTACTATCAGAGTAAATCCAGACATGATAAGAAGAGCGCAAGAATCATTAATTCGTCGAGCTCGGGCATTGCGAATGATGGTCGGCATTTTGAGCAATTTCTATTAAAAATAAATCGTTTTCGTTTCACTACTCGCTTCTGTAATTATTCTATCTTAATTTAAAAGGCAAGATTACTTTTCAAAATCCAAGGATTTTCGACTTGTCAAATCTGACTTTACCTTTGCTTACTATGCATTTTGATTCAAAATAATTTTAAATTCGTTGCTAGGTTTATATTCAAATTAAATGCAATCAATTTACCTGGATATTTTCATCAGTGGTGTTCTAAGCAGGTGGTTAGAGGTGATTTTTTTCATCATTAAAAAAAAATTGAGACTTACTCAATCCGATTCCTTAAGGATGCCAAAGACCTTCATTAATTTTTGGTAACGTATTTCAAAAACAGCCTGTATATGTTTGAATTTTTTTTAATTTTTTAAAATTACGATATTTCAAATGGGCAATTCTGGAAAAACGGTTGGAGTTATCGAAGAAATGAGGCCGGAAGTGATTGGTATCGATATTTACAAGAAAATGTATTTAGTTAAATTTCGAAAATCGTCGAAAATGAGTTGAAATTTTCATAATGGAAAATTTCATTTATAAAAAAGTCTCAAAAAATTCAGGGATATAGATCCCGGCGTGGTGATTCCAAAAATATAGAGTGTCTACTGTCTATAGATACGGTGTAATATTTTCGAGAAATTTGGTGTGAAATCCGAAATTTTTGAAAATTGCGATATTTCAGTGTCAATTCTGGACACACGGCTGGATTTATCGAAGAAATGAGGCCGGAAGTGACTTCTGCGGCCCGAAATCTATACAAAAATGTATTTAGTTAAATTTCGAAAATCGTCGAAAATGGGTCGAAATTTACATAATCGAAAAATTCTCAAAAAAATTATTCAGGGATATAGATTAAGACGTGGTGTTTTCAAATATTTAGCCTGTTTATGGTTACGGAGGAATATTTTCTAAATATTGGGAGCGACATTAAATTTTTTGGAAATTTTTAAGAATTACGATATACAGCGTGTTATTGAAAGGTAAGTAAAATAAAATCGGCAATTGGTCTCGAAGTACGAGTGCTAAAAGTAAAAAAAGATCAGGTAAAAGCGTTCTCTTTTTAGAGATAAAAATTATTAAAATTTATGTCCAAATTCCAAGATCATCTTTCGTTTCTAAAAGGCAACATTTAGTCTTGACAAAACTTTTATTGTTACAGTTGCTAGGATTTACTAAAATAAATAAATTTTACCTATTTATCCTCCAGCAGCGTCTAAAAAGGTTGGATAAGGGTTAATTTTTCCTTATAATTTTGATAACACGAAATAAATTTTTCAGGATTCTTACTGCCCATTCACAATGGACATAAGACATAAGAACGAGCGCATAACATAATTTACGTTTTTGGTTTGTGTCTGGCTTATGCTTATCTACGTTCACAGTGGACAGAGTGAACTCTGTAAGAATTGTTAAACTGCGCAAACGCAGAACGGTATAACTCCCGGCTAAACATAGAAACGGCTAACCTCAAACTGAGTTAAAAAAAATATCTAACCTAAAATTTCATACGATATTCGAACTTGACAACTCGCAGTACAGAACAGACTCGCCGTGTGAAGCTTTGATTATAATTGTTATAATATAATCAAAGGTGTGAAGTGCCAAGTGCCAACTGTCAAAGGGAATTCAATAGCAGCATTCAAAAGTCCCTAGATTTTAACATAATTTTGACATAATTCGTGCACAAAGTTGAACTTATTTCAACTTTGTGTACGCACACAAGGATTACATAAAACGTTCATAAGCATAAGAATTACGTTCGTCCACTGTGAACAGGGGTACGCGTTTTCCATAGTTTCAACTTTACGTATTTATGTAAGCTTTATGTACTTGTTATGCCTTATGTCCATTGTGAATGGGCAGTTAGAGTTCGCGAATAACTGTCAATTTTGTTGTACGTTCTTTTCAATAACACCCTATATAGTTAAATTTCGAAAATTCTCGAAAATGGGTTGAAATTTGCATAAGGGGTAATACGTAATGGAAAATCTAATTTTCGAAAAAGTTTTCTAAAAACCTTCAAAAAATTAAGGGATATTGATCTTGACGTGCTTATTCCAAAAATATAAAGTGTTTATGGTTAATTTTTTGAATTTTTTAAAAATTGCGATATTTTAATAGGCAATTCTGGAAAAATGGTTGGAAGTGACTCCTGCAGCCCGAAATCTACAAGAAAACGTATTTAGTTAAATATTTTACCGGTTTGTGTCTATTAAATGCCCGTTTACATTTATAAAAATTGGCTGGTAGGAAAGCCATAACTATATCCTGTATGTAAAATCGGTAGAGTAATATATTACCTTACCAAAATGTCAATTGTCAACATCTCTCAAGGAACTGAAAAGCAATGAATGTAAAAAATCAATAATGTAAGTAACTTTACCGATTTTATTTAAACTGTTTAATGCTTGACTGGCTGCATTTTAACATTTTCGGGCAATACGTTGCCTAAATCCATCATTTTTCTAATTCTGTTCACAAAATTTTTTTGAATAAACAACAAAATGTAACTGTGACACCGAAATATATCATGCAAACGTGATCAACCACATTTATTTATTTTCTAATTAATTTTTAATTATTGGATTAAAATAGGCAGAAACCGATAAAATCTTGAACACACCACGGATGTAAATGGTGCCATAATCGCCTTATAGCCGTCTTAAAATCTTCGCTAACGGTCGGATTTCAAACGGACGGTTATGGCGGTTATGGCACTCTTTACGTCCTGGGTATGTTTTATCAATAGCTAGAAAATCGTCTAAAATGGGTCGAAATTTGCATACATCGTCGAATATTTTATTTTTGAAAAAGTCGTCCGACAATTTTCAAAAAATTCAGTGTTATAGACCTTGACGTGTAGAATCCAAAAATATAGCGTGTTTATGGTTACGGGGGAATAGTTTCGAAAAATTCGGTGTGAAATTCGAATTTTTTCAAATTTTGAAAAATTGCGATATTTCAATTGGCGATTCTGGCAAAACGGTGGGAGTTATTGACGAAATAAGACCTGAAGTAAAGTCTGTGGCCCGATATCTACAAGAAAATGTATTAGTTAAATATTGAAAATCGTCGAAAATGGGTCGAAATTTACATAAGGATTACATACATAACGGAAAATTTCACTTTTGAAAAAGTCGTCTAAAAATTCTCAAAAAATTCAGTGGTATAGATCGTGCTGATCCCAAAATATAGCGTGTTTATGGTTACGGAGTAGTATTTTCCAAAAAAACCGGTGTCAAATTCGATTTTTTTTGAAATTTTAAAAAATTTCGAGATTTCAATGGACGATTCTAGAAAATGTTTGTAGTTATCGAAGAAATGAGGCCGGAAGTGACTTCTGAGTCCCGAAATCAACAAGCAAATATATTTAGTTAAATTTAAAAAATCGTCGAAAATATGTCAACCAATTATTGACTACAAAATTGCCCATTTCAAGAGTCTAAAAATGTCAAGGGCATAAAGGCGTATGA